GGCAAGAAGCATAAGTATAAATCTTCAAGATTTTGGATTAGGCAATGGTTTCTCAAATATGACACCAAGAGCATAAGCAATAAAACAAAAATAAATAAGTTGAAGTTTATCAAAATTAAAATCTTTTGAGGGCACCTGGGTGGGTATAGCTGGTTAAGCTTCGGACTTCAGCTCAGGTCATGATCTAATGGTTCATGAGTTCGAGGTCCACACTGTCAGCACAGAGCCTGCTTTGGATTCATCTGTCTCCTTCTCTCTCTGTGCCTGCCCAGCTCTTTCTCTCTCTCTCTCCCTCTCTCTTTCAAAATAAATAAATAAATAATTCAAGTCTTTTGTGCATTCAAGGACACTATCAAGAAAATAAAGACAACTGATAGAATGGCAGAAAATATTTGCAAATCATATACAGTATTTAATAAATATCTAGTATCTAGAATATATAATGATCTCTTAGAAGTCAATAATAAAAAGAGAGTCCAATCATAAAATGGGCAAAGGATGTGAAGGTATTTCTCAAACAAACAAAAAACCAAAAAACTAATGGCCAAGAAGCACAAGAAAAAAAGCTCAACATCATTTGTCATTAGGAAAATTCGTATCAAAACCACAGCTGAACCCTACATATTGCTGGTGGAATGTCAGATGAAGTGGAAAAGCTCGGCAGTTCCTCAGAAAGCTCAATGGAGAGTTACACATGACCTAGAAATTCCATTCGTAGGTATCTGCTGAAGAAAACTGAGAACATATATTCACATAACTTCTATACAAATAATAGAAGTATTTTTCTTAACAGCCAAAAAGTGGAAACGACACAAATGTCTATCAGTTGAAGAATGAGGTATATCCAAATTCTGCCGTAAGAATGAATGAGGTACTGATATGTGCTGCAACATGGATGAACCTTGAAAATGTTATGCTAAGTGAAAGAACCCAGGCACAAAATGCTCTATATTATAGGAGTCTGATAATAGGGAATACCCAGAATAGACAAATCTATAGAAACAGAGTAAATTATTAGATGCCAGGGGATAGGGAGAGGAGGAAACTGAAAGGGGTTGTGCTTCTTTTTGGGGTGATAGGGCTATTCTGGAGTTAGATACTAGTGACAGTTTTACAACTGAATCCCTGAATATATACTGAATATTCACTTTAAAGTTGTGAAAATGGAGAATTTAAGGTTTATGTAAATTTTATCTAAAAAAATTAAAAAACAAAACAGGTAAACAGTTTTATACTTCGGATTCACTCTTTCCTCATCATTTCAACAGGTTAGGTGGTAGGCTACTCACCAGATACAGAATCATATCATTTATGAGACTGAATCATACAATGATAATTGTATTATTTACCAGAATTGTTACCATTAGAACTTGAGGCTATGAAAGAAAAAAGATTATTAGTTATTAAAATAAAATGAACTTGTGGAAATTCCTGATCAAATAAATAGGCCAAATAATTTAAAGATGGTCTAAGTTTGCCATTTTGCTTGAATAGATTAACACTTAATAATTTACTCCTCAAATATTATTTATCCTAAGGCTTTTTTTAATTGCTTTATTTTCAACATTTAACTGAATGCTTCACACGTAGGCATATGAAGATTACTTGTTTTTACGGAAAGAACTGTGGATGCTGTGGCCTCCTGCCAAATGCATGTATTCCTGAACTGCAAGAATCTTCCCAGTTTGTATGACGGAAACTTAAGAGGTCTGCTGGGTATTGAAAAATAGGAAAAAGTAATCCTGGAAGCACAGGGCTCTTCATGGCAGTGATGACCCAGCTCTGCCAGCAGACATATTTCAAGTATTCAAGTCCTGTTAAGATTTTTAGATCTAACTTGAGTTCTATGACCTAAAAAATTCTATATAGCTGTACCTCTAAGCAGCAATTGAGGGAAACTTGAAACAAACTAGGAAGGGTAACCTTAGCTCTTGTCTATCAATAGAAACTTTAGAAGGCAGCAGAAGGAGGCTCACCCTTACATCTCCTCTTTCATCTCCTACTCAAAAGGAGAAGCCTGTAGATTACCAGAAAACATGGAAACACTGCTTTGCTGCTTCTGAGGCAGAAGTTTTATTTTAGTTGTCTCTCTTCTTTTGCTTGGATATTCTTAGAAAAAGAGACTCCAACATGTTTTAAAGAATAGGAAAGTGGAAGAAATGTTTTATGAAAGAACTGGGTGGAGGGAAGAAGCCAGAGCCCTTATGTAATTAAGCCAGAATAATTTCTTAAGTAAAAGCAAAGCCAGAGCCTTGTTAAAGAAGAGCTTTGCAGTAAATGGGTAAATGGCAGTAAATTTATGTAGACCACCTGTAAGACTTAGAGTTAATGAAGATGAAATAACTCTGCATTTGACCGCCTTTATATTGTTGCCTGAAAAGCCAAGGAAAATAAAAAAAGAAACAGAACGACATGTGACTTTGCCTTCCTGATAAATTATTTCTGTTGTTCTAGTTTCTCTTTCCACAGCTGTTGTGGATACTTTATTCTAAAGCGCACTGTCTTTTACTTTCTGGAGTTTAATTACTAACAAAGTCTTCTGCTTCATAAATAAAAATAAGGAGTTTTGAAGTAAAAAAAAAAAAAAGAGAGAGAGAAAGAGAGAGAATATTAATTTCATTCTCAGTGATGGTGCCTGCCAATCAGATAATGAGTAGCCTTGTTGCCCTGAAGAAGCAGACCAGCTGTGAATGAAGCATCTAATGAATCTGTAACCTTGTATGGAGAAAATATTGATCTCAGGACAGGTGCTGACCAGGGAAGCTCTCCAACTAAAACTATCACTGAAGTAGGTCTTCCTCATTCTGCTTTCCTGGTTAACCGGCCTCACTGTTTAACGAACTGCCACATAAAGAAACCCGAGCAACCATTGTCTTGAAGCTACATTCACAGTGATCTCCAGTTGTGTGGATTCTACCTGAGATTTTCTTCCTTGTTTTCCTTTCCACCCTCACTTGTGGCTCTCAACCATTTTTTTGGTTTATTCTCTTTTTAAGCCTACAGCTGATCCCCCAGATACCCACCCTTTCCTCCCATCTACCTTTAGACTCTGTTATCACTGTGACTGTTCTGAAATTAACTTGTTAAAAGACAGTTAAAAGCTTTATCCTGCTGATAAGGGCAATACACTAAAGTATAAACTTCTCAGAAAAACACAGGAGGTCTAATTTTGCATAGAAGAGAATAGGAAAACTAGTTCCTTTAATTTGGTAATGATGTAAATTGTGAGATTTAATGTCAATATGTGGTATTCATGATGAGATAACAAAAGGGAAGCTGAGGGCAAAATGTCCCCAAGGTGGGAGAGGGACATATGTAACATTTCTCAGGCACTTGCCTGAGAACAAAGAACATTTCTCAGGCACTTGCCCAGGAACAAAGGAAAGAAAAGTCAATGGTCAACTGATAAAGATCACAGTCATGAAGGACATGAAACTCCATCAGTTTGTCACTGTCTTAATGACTGACAAGAAAAGCACAGTCGAGAATAGTTAGAACTCCAGAAACCTATAGACTCAATTTCCTGGAGCCCTAATGTCACCTTCCTGTTGGTAAGATAGAAAATCCAATTATAATCAGTCACTCTTCACACTTACAATGCAGCTTTTTCTGCCCAAGAGTCCTGTCTCTCTCCTTTAATAAACACCTTTTTGCACATTAAAATGTCTCAAAAATTCTTTCTTGACTGTTGGGCTTGATGATCCTGCACAGTATAAATTGTAATTTGATTAATATTATTAGTATTGTTTAATGGTAAATTTTAGTTCAAAAGGCCCTTTTCAGGTTGGTTTAAACTTACTTTTACTTATAAAATTATAATAAAACTGTTTATATATAAAAACATTACTATTTATCAAATTATTTAAAAGAAAACATGCTTTAAATTCTAAAATTCAGGTATTTAAGTTAATTCATGGAGCAGGATTATTTTTAATGGAGTCTACCTAAAATGTTTATATTCAAATTTATATTAATTTCTTAAAATTTTTTAATATTTATTTTTGAGAGGGGGGAGGGGCAGAGAGAGAGGGAGACACGAATCTGAAGTAGGTTCCAAGCACAGAGCCCGACGTGGGGCTCCAACTCACGCACTGTTGAGATCATGACCTGAGCTGAAGTCGGATGCTTAACCAATTAAGCCACCCAAGGGCCCCTATACTATTTCACTTCTATGCATGTTTGTTTGGCTGGGGTTGGTGGGTGATACTTAGGAAGTCATTCAGGCAACAAGGAGAGGATGGCATCAAGAAAGCCTTAGTAAAGAGTGTGACAAAGGTAATAAGCAAAGCTGAAAAATTACAGGTGAGCTTGGGAAACAGTGACTAGTCCAGTTTTGCCAAAAATGGGGCATATATAGAAAAACAGTAATTTTGCTACCCCGGAAACATCCTTTTTGTGGTAGCAAATTTTGCAAAGTAATAATTAGTCTTTACTTTTGGCGATACACTCTTTCTCAGAATGAATGATATTAATAGAAATTTAATACACAAACATGATATCCATTTAAATTTTATAGAAAAGATGGTGTTAGTAACTTCAATTTAAAAAATGATGAGCAGAATTAATAGGGTTTTAAAATGAAAGTCCACTTACACAATGGAAAACTGCCCAATCTTTCTGGTGAGAAAAAAAAAGTTTTCATTACTTTTTAAGATAATCAAGAGACTTGAGCAAGAAATGAGAGCAAAATATGTATAATGATCAATGATATTAAATGTTTTTGAAAAGTTATTTCCATAATTGTACAAATACAGAAGTAATATCTAAAGAAGGACAAATACTATTTTGAAATAATGAAAATTAAAAAATGGGGCCACAATCTATTAAATAAAATGTCAATGAAATTTGCATTTTGGTAAATACTGCATCTTGCTTATGTCCCCTCAATATGGATGAAAAAGTACAACGTCATTAGCAAAACTAAACAAAGTGCATTCTGTCCTATATACTTGGAAACTGGCAAATTGTCAGCACTGCCCTGGGCCCTGGCGGCTACTTACCAAAGCTGCGCTTGGTGGAACACCTGCTGACCAGGTTGCCGGGGCGACTTTGGGCTGCCAGTTGGCTCCGCCAGTCAACTTCTTCTCTCCAGCATTCCACTGAAGATCGCCCCTAAAATCAAGCATGCAAAAACAAACAAAAGTATTAAAACCACACTAATTAGAAAAGAATCAGTGTGGCTCCTTAGATACTTTTATTTGGGGTTAGACGCAGTCTATTTGAGGCTAGCGGTAATAAAGAGAACAGATTAAAACTTATAGAGGAGTCTTCTTATATCTAAGACAGTATTAAAAAAGCATTTGATAAAAAATTATTTAGAGTTTGGATCTCAATGTTTATTGAGCCTCTATAGTTGTCAGGCACTGTTGTAAGCACTTGGGATGTATTAGTGAAGAAAATAAAGATCCTGATCCTGGAGGAACATGCATTCTTTCGTTAGAAGAATGCACTTCTCCAATAGGAGAATGTGCCACAAAATTCAAACAAACTCCTCACTGGTTACAAAAAATTCCAAATATCATAAATACTGTATATACCTATACTTTGTCAAATACCTGTATTTTGTTTCATCCATGATGGAACTTCTTCTAGATCTGGGAGGGTTCGTCAGAAGATTTTACATAAGTACATTATAACTATAAGCTGCCTTACAGTGACTGGCAGGTGTATCTATTGTAAAATGCATCCCAATTTCAAACACACTGAAATGTGCATCTAAAGAGAGGGCACATTGTTTATCATTCTTTTTAATCCTTCCTTAAAAAGTGATCCTCCATGACAGACTTTTAAAAACCAATGTTAGCTAGGAATAGTGTTCTAGAATTTAAAGCTATTAAAGCATTCAAACCCTAATTTCTCAGGTATATCTAGCTATAATTTAGTGACAGTCTTGGAGACTGAAATAGATTGTTCCTTTTCATTGCAGAGCCAACAGTTTGGAGGTTCCAGTAGAATAATAACAAAAACTAAAGTCCAGAATGCAATAAAAACCAATTTTGAAATTACCTAGCCCGAGAATGAGTTATTGCTCCAATGCATTTAATTGTCTCAAGTAAATGTAAATACATTGCACAAGAAAACCAGATAATTTCAAAAACACTTACTTTTTGGATGTGGTACCAGAAATTCCAAGATCTATAAAAGGATAAAAGAAAAAAGAACTTAAACCTCTATACTCAGCTTAAATGATATGACATTTAAAAGATCAAAGAGTCAGAGTTCTAGAAAAAGTCCACATTTTGCCTAAGAATGACTGTATTCAATTTTACAAAAGAGAAACTATGTTAGGAAACATGTTCTGAAATCTAACATTTTCTTTTACTTCACATTATACTTAAGGATCACATTTTAATGTCAACTGGTATCTAGGAAAGAGTAAACATAGCACGCTTGTGACTGTTCTCTTAGAAAGGCCTATGTGGCTGGCATCTGGTAACCTAGTTAGTAAACTGTTCTCCATACTGCGATAATACTTTTCCTAATGAGAAGGGTGGCTTACTGTGTCTAAACTGCACAAACAACGTGGTTTATGCTGAACACCTGCTTTCCTTCTTTCTGCAACACTGAAATTTTGGCCCATGTTGAGCAGAGTGCCTACATGAGCAGCAACTGATAAAAGATCTGGGTGTTGAGTCTCTACAGGGCTTCCTTGGGCAGAAACATCACATGTGTTGCCACATTTTCTTATGTTTTCCCCCTCATGGGAAGGGGAGAGCATAAGGGAGTCAGTATATGGATATTTCCAAACTTGCCTGTGTCTTTTTCCCTGATGATCCAGCTGTGTGTCCTTACTATGCTGCTGTAATAAATCTTAGCTGTGAGGACAACTCTGTGAGCATTCCTCAGAGTCCTAGTGAATCTGTGAATGTGAAGGTGGTCTTGGGGACTCCTGACTTAATTAGCTTACTCATTCTACTCTAATCTCAATTCACTGATGACTTCAGCAAATATTTATTGAGCCTCTATAGATGCCAGGCACTGTTGTCAGCACTTGGGATATATTAGTGAAGAAAACAAAGATCTTGTTCCTGGAGAAATATGCATTCTAATAGGGTGAGATGGAGGATAAAACAATAAAATAACAAAGTAAATTATGTGGGCTACTACAAGGTGATAGGAAAGCCTATGGAAAAAGCAAAGGAAGAGCAGGGCACAGGGGATGAGTCAGATAGGATGAGGGTGATGGGCAGGAAGCATTAAACACGGTGCTCAGGGAAGGCCTCAGGGATCTGAGATTTGTGCAAAGCTGAGCACATTTGTTGGGGAAGAGCTTTCTAGCTGTCTGTCTACGGGTAACTATTTCAGGTCTGGAGAAACTGCCAAACTGCTTTCACAGTTGCATTTTCACCAGCAATGTTAGAGTTTTCACGGTCTCCACATTCTCATCAGCACTGTTTTCTCATTTTTGTTTTTTAAATTATGGCCATCCTAATGGGTGAGAAGTGATATCTCGTGGTTTAGATACGCATTTCCCAGATGACTGGTGTGGAGCATATTTTCATGTGCACATTGACCACACATATGTATTCTTTGGAGAAATGTTTAATTAAATCTTTTGGCCATTTAAAAATTGGGTTATTTGGGGATGTCTGGGTGGTTCAGTTGTTGAGCATCTGACTCTTGGTTTTGGCTCAGGTCATGATCTCATGGTTTGTGAATTTCTGCCCCACATCACACAGAGTTCTGTGTTAACCCTGCAGAGCCTGCTTGACATTCTCTCCCCCTCTCTCTACCCCTACCTCACTCACTTTCTCTCTCTGAAAATAAACTTAAAAAAACAAAATTGCATTATTTGTATTTTCAATACGGAGTTTTAAGAGTTCTTTATTTACCTGTTCCTTAGCAGATATATGTTTTACAAACACCTTCTCCCATTTTGTGGGTTAGTTTTCTACTTTCTTGATAGTGTCATTTGTAGCACAAATTTTAACGTAGTTCTATTGATCTATTTTGATCTATTGCTTGTTCTTTTGGTGTCATATCTAAGAACATTACCTAATCCAAGGTCATAAAGATTTATTTACTAATACATTTTCTTCTAAGAGTTTTATAGTTTTGGCTCCCGCATTTAGTTCTATGATCCACTGTGAACTAATTATTTTGTAGGAAGCAAGGATCTAACTCCATTCTTCTGAACATGGATGTCCAGCTATCCTGGCACCATTTGTTGACAAGATAATTCTTTTCCCACTGAACTGTCTTGGCACCTTTGTTGAGAACCAACTGCCCACAGATGTATGCTTATTTCTAGACTGTCATTCTATTGCATTGAGGTATATGCCTATCCCTAGGCAATACCACTTATCTTAATCACTATAGCTTTGTAGTAAGTTTTAAAATCATTAAGTGTGAGTCTTCCAAGGTTATTCTTTTTTATTTGGAGTGTTTGGGTATTCTGGCTTCCTTTCATTTCCATATGAATTTTAGGTTCAGCTTGTCAAGTTCTGCAAAAAAGGAAACTGGAATATTGAGGGGGGGTATGTAGATTTTTTTTTCAGTTTTGGAAGATATTTTATTAAAAAATTTTACTTAGAGTGAAAATCAGTGTTTTTTGGGGGGAGGGTTGTTACATTTCTATACATTTTAATAAACATATGAATTCATGTAATCATTATTAAAAACAGGAAACAGCAAATTAATTACTCAAAAATATTCTTTCTCACTATCCTTTGAGATCAAAACTGCACTCTTGGGAGCTAGAGGTATAAATCCTTTATTTCTGAAGGCGAATCTGGATGATATATTATAGTGCCAGCAAAAGCAGTTATCACTGCCAACTATCCTTCAATGAGATCAAACTTTAGAGTAGGAAGAAATACTCAAATGACCTCTCCAGGGGTGTTCTCAAAGCATTTTCACAGATGTTCACACCAAGGAGAATGAATGGGAAAAATATGTTCATTGGCTAATGCATAGGGGAAAAAAAAAGTCTGTATCAAGGATCTGCCAAAACCTTGGGAGAAGTGAAAGGTATCTGTAGTGGTGAACCCTTTCACCTTAATAAAAAATCAAATTCAGGGTTAAAAGAAAAGGCCAGTCTTTATACTAGCTGCCTTTATCTCGTAGGTACTCTCCATTCCAATCTCTAGCCTCTGGTCTCCTGTTGTTTCTCGAATATGCCAGGCAGTTTTCTGTCCCAATGCCTCTGCACTGGCTATCTCCTCTGCCTGCAGATAATTCTCCTTCAAATCTATGTGGTTCATTCAGATCTTTGCTAAAACTGTACCTTCTCAGGGAGTCCAACCCTAACTTCCCTCCGCAGTGTTCCCAATTCCTCCCTGTCTGGTCTGTTTCTTCCCCATAATGCTTATGACCTCATGCACTACAGAACTTACTTATTTGAAAATGTTGGTCTCTCCTCTTCCCAAGCATCGTAAGAACAGAAATTTATACCTGTTTTTCTCATTGATTTATCCTTAGAGCTTGGAAGAGTGCTTGATACTCAGTAAATATTTGTTGAATGAATTGAATGAGGAACTGAAATTCACATGGATGCTCAGTTGTCAATATTTCAGTATTTAAGTTACTCTGTTCTTATTTCCAAGTGAAATGAAAAATGAAGTGCTTAGTATACATAATGTACTTGGTTTCACACTTGTATATGCTCTCTAATTATCTCTTTAGTAATTTATATTAAAAACGGCATGGGGACAACTTGTTAGACAATGGCACAGCAACTGTTTATCTTTCAAGGAATTGTAATGGGTAGAGCACTAAGAATTTCTGTCTGCTCCTTGCTATACTCACCCGTAAGTGAAACCAGAAATAATTATATATGAAAAGATAGAGAAAAAAAATTCATATATGATGTAGTAAAAAAAAAAAAACAAAACCAACAACAAACAACTGTATTACTCACTGCCTACTAAGCTGGCAAGAGATGAGTCAAGGTCACTCCCAAGGGCTTTGCTTGCTGCCATGGCTGGACTGGGGGGTACCATTGAGATGGGTGCAGGCTGCCCAGCTGGTGCCATGGTTGGCATCAGTAGATCACCTAGACCATCAAACACTAGAAATCAAATAGACCAGGTTCAGAATAATTGGAAAAAAAAAAAAAGGCCATATGCAAACTTAAAGGGAAGTTGTCTTTTGAAAAACTATAAAGCAAGTGAATATACAATCTTACAAAAGAAGGCATGTAATTCACACTTTTTATGACTATAACACATAGAAGAACATGTCTACATATGTCTACTCATAAAGTACAGAATACTAGTAAACATAAACAAAGATGGGAAAAAAAATCTGTGTAATGTACAGGAAAGAGCATAGATTTTGGAATTAGAATTAAGCTCAGTTTAGTTGCATGCCTCACTAACTGTGTGAATTTGAGAAAATCACCATCTGAGCTTTAGTTTCCTCCTCTGTAAATGGGGAGGGTACTCCTACCACATGGTCCTGTTGTTAAGATCAAATTAGATAATATATGTCATGTCTTTATTATACTGCTTGCTCTATATGGGTACTCAATAAGTGGTAGCCACTAATACTCTTATTAAAAACAATAAATAAAATGCTTTTTATTGAAAATGGTAGTAATTTACAGCAAAGCCTAGCTAATGTATTGTCAGATCCTACCATGCTTTTTTTTCCCTGTACAATGCCTGTTTTTAAAACAATTCTTATATGAGAAAGAAGGCTGAATCTCCTAGTTTCCTATGAAGTTAGGGGTGGAATAAAACCTGATCTAATGGTTAGTATGTAGTCATGAATATCTAACGAGCAGTTGACCATATTTTAGAAGTAAAAAATTTTGACCCTCTCCTTCCTCCTTATAGTAATCAATTTAGGTTCTAACATTAAAGGAATGTTTATGGGAAAAACTATTTTAACCATTAGGAATCATGCTACATTGATAGTTCCTAATCACTATAAAACCAGTTACCACTTGTTGCATTCCTCGAGTACATAAAGACCATTCAAAATGCAGACTCAAAGGATCTATGTAAGTTGTTGCTAATATCTTCTCTGTGTCAAAATTTTTGTGGGTAATTTTCATTAAGGAACTTTGAATATTTACCACAAACACTACCATACAGTAATTCTAAATTGGAAAATGACAGCATTCAACTAGGCACTGGCAATAGAAGCAACCAAATTGGCAGGCAGGGGATATATTTAGAATGTTTCTGAAGCACATTTAATTGCCAAAAACTCACCAATTGAAAATTTGTAGTAAGGACCCAGCATGGGAAGAGTAGAATGGAAGAGAATACAAACAAAATGACAGCAGGATGAAAGATTAAAGGCAGGCAAAGAATACTATTTGTGTCTCAACTTCATAAAACCAAGGGCCATGCAAGCTTCAGAGGGTGTAAGCAATAGCAGTTGGGAGTGTCCACACATTGATACGGCGTAAAATATTTGTTTTCCCTTAACTGTCTCTAAACCATGTGCATGTAAGCTCATGCAAACAGAAATGGTGTGTGTGTTGTTAGGTCTTTGCTAAAAATTAAAAACAGAAACACAGAAAAGGATTACAGGTTAACCTTAAATCTTCTAAAATGTACTGAAATATTTAGTTAAAATGCACAATAAGAGATTTACTAAAGTTTTAAAACCAGGTCACCACTGAGTAGTTGCTTACGAGTTTCCTGATATCACACTAACCTTGGGTGGTATATTTTATAATCAGAACAAATACAAAGAATGTTTGAAAGTCACTGCCTCACCTGATGGATCAAAGGAGCTGCTGCTAGAAGTTGAAGGCGTTGTTCCAAAAGCTGCTTCGAAATTGGGCTGTAGCAGGTTATTCTGAGCTGGAGTCACTGGTGATGGAGAAGGGGCCATAAAAGAACCCCCAAATCCTGGGGAAAAACAACAGTTCCAGAAAAATATAAGTAGAAACAATGAAAGGTAGGTAAAGGCAAGAAAAACAGAGTCAGGAAGAGTTACAGAAGACTGAGGAGGAATCAAATGCCGGTAGATGAGAAGTCAGTGAAACCTGGGAAGTTAGTTTTTTTTTTTTTTCTTTTTTTTTTTCTTTTTATTTATTTCTAGGAGAACGAGAGAGATAGCATGAGCAGGGGAGGGTCAGAGAGAGAGGGAGACACAGATTCTGAAATAGGCTCCAGACTCTGAGCTGGCAGTCAGCACAGAGCCCGATGCGGGGCTCGAACCCACGAACCGTGAGATCATGACCTAAGCGAAAGTCGGACGCTTAACCAACTAAGCCACCCAGGTGCCCCGGGAAGTTAGTTTTTTAAAAGTTTTTCATGTATCCTGATTATCTGTCATGTATTTTTAAATGATTTTTACTGATTTTTAAAAATTCAAGTATATAGGGCTTCTGGGTGGCTCAGTCAGTTGAGTGTCCAGCTTTGGCTCAGGTCATGATCCTGTGCCTCGTAGGTTCAAGCCCCGTGTCAAGCTCTGGCTGACAGCTAGCTCAGAGCCTGGAGCCTGTCTTCAGATTCTGTGTCTCCCTCTCTCTCTGACCCTCCCCTGCTCATGCTGTCTCTCTCTCTCAAAAAAAAATTTAAAAAAATTCCAAGTATAACATTCAGTGTTTTACGAGTGTCTCAGGTGTATAATATAGTGAATCAACAATTCTATACATTACTCAGTGGTCATCATGATAAGTATGCTCTTTAATCCCCACTGGCTACTTCATCCATTTCCCCCTCCAACCTCCCCTCTGGAAACCACTGGTTTTGTCATGTATTAATGAGATCTAACTTAATTAGAAATGAAATAGCACAGAAGAATGTATCTCAACCCTGGTGGACAGAACCTCGGGCAACCAAACCTATCACTGAAATGGAGCTACAGAGAGCTAAGAAGGTCCCAACAGGGTTCAAACTGAGATGATTTCATTACACTAAAATTTTGATTCTTCACATCACAGTATCAGGTAGCTAGAAAATGCTTAGTTGTACACACTGGCTAAGTATAATAATAAAATACAGATCAGAAAAATATGCATGCACTCTGCCACCAAATCCTCCTTAACACCTTTCATACATATTCTTATCTAATTCTGCTACTGTTAAGTGTGAGCTCCCCTCATTCATCTCTCAGGATTCATCAACAGCCACCAGAGGGGCTTCCTGCCTCTAGTATGGACCTCCTCCAATCTAGTCTCTGCAGTGCAGCTAGAGTCATCTTTCTGAATGAAAATGCTGACAAAGTTACTTCTCTAAATAGAGTCCTTCACTGGCTCTCCATAACTTTCAGATTCATCTAATGAAGATTCCTTTGCATAGTAATCAAGCTGTTCTGTCTCTGTTCCCTTCCCCTTCCCTGCAAACAAGACTGCTTCCCTGCAAACAAGACTGCATCATGGTGATTCAGATGCCCACTCCAGGAAGGCCTCCTGGACTGGTACTGTCACTCACTGCTATCAGCCACAGCTATGCTCACCCCTCCCACCCCAAATCCAAGTGAGTTACATGCTCTGCCTCTATGCCCTCTGCGTCTGATACATATCTCCATCTGATTCCCATCACATATCTTTATTTCTGCCCTCAAGCACCCACTCTGGGGATGGCTTTTGGCTGTCAGGAACTGTCTTCTCCTGTTTTTCACTAATCCGCACAATGCCTAAAACACTGGATGAATGTTTACTCGATAAGGACACTGTTGCATGGTGGGGAAAAATCAAAGGCCACTGTAAAGCAACCAAAATTCAAATTACTTATCTTTTGAAGGCTGGAAGCAAATAATTTCCCTCAAACAACAGATAGAAGCAGAAGCAAAGCTCACCCTGTATTGCTTCTGTATGAAACATGCAACTGGAGAAGGCAGTGATTTCTTAATAAGACGTTAGAGGATGCTCTATTATTAAAGAATTTTATTACTTCCACAAGTCTTTTCTATATTTAGTTTGGGTATAAATATTCCTTTCTAATATAGCCACATCTTCTCTTTTTCACAAACTTCTTGTAAAAACAAAGAATGGTTTAAAAAATCCTTAAGCTTACATTCTATAAAACCAGCTTATAATATTGAAAATGACTTCTGAAATTCTCTGGTTACTATTTTCGAAAGCAGGCAATAATGTTCAAGTCTTATTGTTCCTGGACAGTGATAATGACACAAGTTTAGGCTTTCCTTATAGATGTATGAAAACAATGCAATTCAGAAAACTGTTACCTAATAGAGGATGGTCTTTAAAGTTCACAGCAACTAGCTGGGGTGACTTTAGGATTTCAGTGACATAAGCATTGAAGAAAAGACATTCCCCAGATCTTTAAGAATATTATGAAGCAAAGATGGGCTAAGTAATTATTTTTGTGGATGAGATAGTTTGGTTTTAAGGAGATTGATGGCTGTGTTAATGCTGAGTGTTTTGAAACATACCATATCTCAAGTTGGAATATGGCTGTGGTTAGTTTAGGCAATTTTTCTTTGGTGTGGTTTTCTTTGGCGTTATAGGTGAATGTGAAGATGATTGTTCTTGAATCTCAGTTTCTTAAAACTTGGCCGAGAAAATTTATTCTAGAATCATAGTATATTAGTGTTGGAGAAAGCCTTGGATCATCTGATTCAATCCTGTCTTTCTATGACTAGAAGTTATGCAAAAGAAAGTTAACATAGCCACCCAATATTCAGTAGTAGAAAGAGAAAAACATGCACTTACAATACAGGGCTCATCTGCTTAGTGCTACTGAGTTTCATAACATAAGCAGATCACATCCATAGGTAAATAAATAATGAAAAAAATTAGCCCCTTCTTTAAGAAAGCAAAGTATAAAGTTAACACTGTCATGGGGGTCACCAAGGTCTAAGCATTTTAAAGGTTGAACCATACAAACCCTATGAATTGCCAATATTTGACCACTTTAGTCCTACAAAAACAGTAGGTTTATATTGTTCGACCCAAAATATACATTAGCTCATTTAATCCTCACCCCAACTCCATGAAGTTTCACGGATGAAGACACTGAGGCAAGAGAGGTTAAATAATCTGCCCAAGGCCAAATACTGGCAAGTAAGAGTGAGGATTCCACACAAGAATCTTCCAGAGCTTGGATTCTTCACAATACTACACGCCTCTTTTCCACAGCCACACGCCCTTTCCACAGCCAGGAGGAAAACCAGAGTTGTACTCTTTTTGTTGATTTAAGAACTTGACAGAGATCTAGAAAGATGACTTTTTTCCATTATGCTCAGTTCTTACAAAGTAGGTGCCTTCACAGACCTAGACTAATTCAAAAGCTATAAAGTATTATAAAATAACCAACTGATTATCTTAAAGAAAAAATCTATTGCTATACTTGAATTACAGATATTAACAAAGGAACTCCTCCTGTTAAGTGAAAAACTTTAGAGCCCTGGAATAGAGGTAAGAAAACTCACACCACTAATATTTCTTTCTACATGGTTCTAAGTTACATTAAGAAAGATGTTCTATGGAATTTAAGCTAATAATCAGTAGGCTTCCAGATATCCTGCAGGCATTATTTGGACTGTCCTACACTAAAATGAATCACCAACTATCTTCAAGTACTCAACCATCTACAGACGCACTGCCTTTTGTCACAGATAGTTTTATGAATCTATTTTTCTAAGGGGAACAGCCTACATACTTAAGGAAGATCTATTAACAGATATATCAAAATTGATAGCCAGTTGATATAATAGATCATTTGGGTCAGAAGAGTAAAAACTTAAAACTACTGGTAGATACACATACTCCCACACACTCCCAATGTTCCTTTCTGTTAAAGATGATGTCATTTCAATTACTCTGTAATATAGTCAGTTATTAACATATTCCATTTACTAAGATCAATTTGAGATATTATTTCTAGGATTAGCAGTCTGAGAGCCTTTTGTCTGACACATTTCAGACTGCCTCCCATCTCCACAGAGTATGAAAGAATTGTTCTCTGTAGAGCCTTCTCATTCAGTGGCTATTATTAGTTATTAACTCCATATTGAACATTTTTATATCTTAAATCAATTCAGGGGCGCCTGGGTGACTCAGTTGGTTGGGTGTCCGACTTTGGCTCAGGTCATGATCTCATGGTTTGTGGGTTCGAGCCCTGCATTGGGCTCTGTGCTGACAGCCAGCTCAGAGCCTGGAGCCTGCTTCAGATTCTGTATCTCCCTCTCTCTCTGACCCTCCCCTGCTCTCTCTCTCTCTCTCTCTCTCTCAGAAATCAATAAAAGACATTAAAAAATTAAAAAAAAAAATCAGTTCAAAGGCCTCTGTGGCTCTGCTAAAAAATCATCTATGTCATGTGGTTAACAGAGAATACAAAACTACAAAGACTGAATTAAAGATAGGAAGTGGCCCATTTCTATGCTAGTATAAATTTATGGGACAGTAACTCCAGAATTGTGACTATAATTGACGAAAATGGTTTTCCTGCTTGATGTCAACCTCGGAAGTTAGGTATAATCTCCCTTAATCACCCATTTTTATATCTGTGATTCCAGAAATCTATATATTTCAAACATCTAGATTTCAACTGGTGTATCTTAAGAGGAGTTTGAGAGCTTTATAAATTCACTATATGAAATAACATTTCCTTTATTTTTTATTATTTTTATTTATTTCTAGGAGAGAGAGAGAGAGAGACAGCGTGAGCAGGGAGGGTCAGAGAGAGAGGGAGTCACAGACTGAAATAGGCTCCAGGGTCCGAGCTGGCAGTCAGCACAGAGCCCGACGCGGGGCTCGAACCCACGAACCGTGAGATCATGACCTAAGTGAAAGTCGGACGCTTAACCGACTAAGCCACCCAGGCGCCCCAACATTTCCTTTTTTTGGATAGAAACTTAACTTTCCAGTTTCTAGTCAGATTCTACCTGAGATATAGATAGTATCTGTATCTTACTAGTAAATCTCAATGATGTGGAAAGAATTATGCTTTGAGTTTGTCCTCTTTGGCCAAAGCAGCTGTCTCTTCTACAATATTGTCTCGTTTCACCCTTCTAGGTATACCAAACAGAACTTGAAATTCTTACTCAAGGGGTAGAAGATGACTAAAGATGATATTTTATGCACAGTCCAATTCTGGAACTGGTATTATCTGACAGTTCTAGAAGTAAATCAGAATAAAGAATAGCCAGTTTTTATGAGAGATATGCCCAGTTTAAAAGGCTATCTATTTAGGCCATGTTTTCTAGTTTTAAATTACATATCAATTTTTGACAAAGTTTTTCCCCAATTTTGAGATGATTCTTAATTTTTGGTTTAAAAATTCTAAAGATCATTTTAACATTTAATTATATTACATATTTGTTGTATTTCTCATTACTTATATATAAATTCCCTCAAAAAATCTGGGGAGCAAGGGCCCCTGTTCAGAAACCAATGATACTTTTAGATAGTCTGCACCTTCCATTACTGTGTCTGTATTATTCTTTTTTATTCTCTTACAAAACAGTGTTAAAAGCCAGTAATTCAAGATTCTAGAGACTCACAAAATACAACTTTCCCTTCCTCTTTATTATGGACTTGGCTGCTCTCTCCCTATAGACAAACACATACAAGTATAACACACATGTTAAAAGTTCACTGCACATTATCATAACACAGTGCCCCAAGTATTTGTTCTAACATTGATACTCATTCAACAGAAATGTCTGGGCAATCTGAAAAATCTCAAATAGCTGCTGTCAGCTAGACTTAACATATAAATGTGACTGGGATTTTATTTGTGTACTTTAACAGGGTTTCTGGCTAGGAAATTTGCTTCTAGATCATAGTACAAAATTATATAAATATTCTATGATATTCCTCAATGAGAACATGGATTCTTTGCTGTTACCTGAACAAATATGAGAAATGTTTCTCTATAAGCAAAACAGAGAGAAGTATGAAAAACCAGCCCTAACACTTAAGATGTAGAGAAATTAGAATTTAAAATCTCTTATATCAGGATATAAGGTAAAGGAATAGTTGGCTTCATGGCAAGTAAATTAGACTCAGATATGTACAGATTAAATTATAAGAACTGTAAAACAAGCCAGACATTAAAACCCATTCACACCTACTTACATTAAAAATTCATTTATTCAAATTAAAAAAATAGAGAAAGAAGAAAATGTGCACAAAAATACTTTTCCCATCGCTAAAAAAGTCACACACAAGATGATGCACTAGTAACAATGGGAAGTGTACAGTCAATAAAACCTATGTAAACGACATTGACACTTTCATCATGAGTTTTCACCGTTGCCATCTCATTTTACTAAGATTTCAGGAGGGACAGCAATTTAGGCCTGCTTCTGGTGAAGAGTCTTAACTTCAACTTTGTGTGTACTTCCCTTGTTGCACCTCCCTGTATACAAATCTGGCTGTGCAGACTCAGGAATCTGATGTTGCACTTGGCAGTGGGCGACAAAACATTCCTGCTTGTTTCAGGTGTATTTCACACCCTATCTTATCCCCAGGATCTGGCAAAAAGCCAGAACATTTGATTTCATATGCTGTCTCAACCTTAATTATAACTGCAAAGCCAAAGGCTTATTTATGATCAGCAGTCTCCTTTTATTATTATTATTATTTTGAGGGAGAGACACATGTGAGTCAGGGAGGGGGAGAGAAAGGGAAACACAGAATCTGAAGCAGGCTGAAGGCTCTGAGCTATCAGCATGGAGTGTGATGCGGGGCTTGAACCCACAAACTGTGAGATCATGACCTGAGTCTAAGTTGGACGTCCAACTGACTGAGCCACCCAGGCACCCCAGTAATTTCCTTTTAAAATTGACAAGGTCATTTCCCCCAAATAAACATTTAAAACTATGCTATTTCTGTGGCATGTTAAAAATCTATTGCTTAAACTTGAAGACCTAAATTAAGGTTATTGGTTTTGTAAGAGCTTGAAAGTTTTTGTGACCCATTTGAAGCTGCTATGAAGGACACCCAGGCCAGGAGAAAACTCAGGCGAGGTAGTATTTTTTCCCCAGGTAACCAGCTGTGGTGTGTGGTAAGTGCACAGACTCTTATCATATTTGTGGGTTCCAAAGTCCAAAGCAATATCACAGTGGAACTCTGGTTCTTCACCATTCACAAAATATCAGCTGGCAGTCACTCGTGTGAAGTGGATTCAGCAAATAAGAGTGTCATAGTTAACCAGGGTACGCTGGAGAGGGTGGGAAAGACATAAAAGAACTGCTCCTGCTCCTGGGAAAGTCTGTTAAATAATCAGTCTGAAAGACTGAGGGAAGGAAAGAGTTAACAGCTGGGCTGTGATTTCCCTTTCGGGCTTCTAGAGTAACATCTGACCTCCATGATCTCATGGTGTTGGGATGGAGCCTCGTGTTGGGCTCTGTGCTGCCAGTGCAGAATCCGCTTGGGATTTTCTCTCTCCTTCTCTCCGGCCCTCTCCTGCTCTCTCTCTCTCTCTCTCGGTTTCAAAATAAATAGATATTTTTAAAAAATTACCAAAAAATGATTTGACCTTGTATCAAACTTCTTACAAGGTGATGAGCATCCTTTAATGAAGTCATTACTCATTACTAACCCAAAATGAATGTTCTCTGCATGCTACACCTGGCCAGGATTGTTCATTACACGAGAAAATAAGACCTAGTCACTGTTTCAAGAGCCACATGACTAGCAGGGAATTTAAACTGAGAGACTGTGAACGTGGCAACTTTCTTGTCCTGATGTGACCCACACACACATCAATCCCTTGCCAACCACATGACCAAAATGCATCCCTTGTGGTGACTGAGGAGGGATACCGGAAGCTGTATCTGGGTGTCTGAGGCCTCTATGATGCTACTGCTGCACTTTTTGTTATGTACCCTTATAAGTAAAGTCAGAATGAGGTAAACCAGCAGTGTCTTCTGAGTTTGACCGATAACCTGAGGCTCAAACTTACTATTGTGGTCTTGCAAATGGCAAATGCGTTGCCTGTAAAAATAGTAATTTCTAGGTCTGGGTAACATTAGGCATACTTTGCCCCAAATCCAAAGAAGTCTGACAGTTAGGTTTTACTATCTTTGAGCCTTTGAAATCTTCCCTGTTATTCCTTCTATCCCATCCTGGCCAATAGCAATAATCCTAGGCATCTTGTGCCAGTCTACTCCACACTATGGCCCTGCTGACCTGAGATCTCTTTAGAGGTTTTCAGATTAAAAACAAAAACAAAAACAAAAAACAAAACAGCTAGTTAAAAAAGTGGCATAGGTAGCAACAGTTTCAACTCTGGTGCAAATCTATAATAACACTTTCTCCTGGAGTGATTCATGTTACAGAATCAATTGACAAACATAATGTATCTTTCTACACCAATTTCTTTAAAAAAAAATGGGCAGAGGCAATACTAGATAAAATTTGCTACATAAGCATATTACCTCTTTAGTAAACGAAATGTGATCACTAAAAGGAAGGGCTTTAAGAGCATCCAAGAAACCACTGAGGTGACTTATATACAAATGTGATTTTAATATTGATTTTATACAATCCTGGGAAATAACCTTCTATCATACCATGTCTTGTTTTTCAATTTTATGTCTCAAAAGGGAAAGAACACATGCATGTTGAAGTTTACATATCTGTAACTTATAAAAATGTAGCAAAACTTAACTTCCACAAAATACCACTTTATTTTAATGTAATTCATTACCGGCTAGTAGGTCTGCCGATGCTGATGAACTAGAAGCAGCCTGAGGTGCAGGTTGGGGTTCAGAAGCACTACTTCCAAATGCATCTACCCATTATCCATTGTGCAGCAAAAAAGCAAAAGAGTGTAAACAGTAAGTACAGTCAGTAAATTAAGTGTTTAGCAGAGAAATGCATAGACATGACACTTTGTGTGGTGAGCTTGTCACCTTTGGATATGTGAAATGATCAAGTGAACTGAATTATGCACTGAATTTATTCTCTCAAAAAAGAGTTCTAGAATATTTAATATTAACACCTCTTTGTAAGACAATTCTTTCTTTTTAAAGACAAAAAAAACCTGTTATCTCTTAAAATAGTATCAAGGTTTTAAAAATTTTACCCAGAGATAATACAACAGAGCTTTCCCATTTGGAACTCCATTAAACTTAGCAAAAAAAAAAAATTAATAAACTTGATTTGAGCAGCAGCAGCAGCCCTACTTGTACCTTTATACCAAAGTTCAGTGTTTCTTTGGCACAAGTTTTGAGCTCTTGAATGTCAGAGACTGTCACACCACTGCACCCCTCATGGCACATATCATGATGCTTCAGCATAGGGTGGAGAAGGCGGTCAGTGTGGTTTTAACTTGCTAAAAATGGTATTTTACCATGGCATATACATTTGTGGACATTCATGAAGACATCACTTCAATTCTGTATGTTTCCCTATAAATTTAATGCTAAAATAATATTTTAAGTACATCATCCAACTGAGTAGTGTAAGAGTTAATTCAGTACATCTCCCTGCCTTTAGATAATATACAAAGTAAAGGGAGAATACATTTAAATCAGTATTTAAACATCTTCCGGTTCTCTGGAAGGATTTAAAACATTAAGCTCAACATAAACAAACCCTACAGAATAATGTATGGCTCTCCAGCTTATGTTTTCAGTTTTGACTGGCTTATTTGTTTTCAGTTCCAAATTATCTAGTTAATATTTATATTGCCTTTTTTTAAGAACTTAGAAATGTTGATTTAGCCAATAGATCAGGATCACCAAGGAAGAACAGTAGAGGGAAATTCCAACCAGCTGATTCTACATGAGGAGGAACAAAAAGTTAAAAACACAAAGACTTCAAATGAAAAAATGATCAGGTTTTGTCAGGCTGTGCATTGGAAATTTGATGAGCTGATGAGGATGAAGATGATGATGGCAAAGAAATGGAAAAGAGCTTAAAAACCTAAGTTTATAGGTGAGAGATGGAAATAACTTCACGTAGTCAAAAGAAAAAATGATGGAAGATAATGAAATGGAAGATGTAAAAACTATTCTGGGGGGGGGAGACTCTTTACGTGGTGAAGGAGGAGAGATACGCACCCCCAAAAAGGTCTATCACCCCTGAAGAGTCCACCTTTGCTGGAGAGGCAGTGGCTGCAGGAGACGGTGCTGCAAATGCATCCACTGCGGTGAAGCACACAACAGGAAGAATTCCATGTCACCCAAGGGAAAATAAAAATAAAAACCAGGAGCTTTGACAGATGACTTCTCGGGATTTCATGTTTAACAGCAGGCAGTAAGACTACAGACCATTTTACCAGTTGAGAAGCAGCAAATGGATTTAAAAACACATACTTTCCTGAAGAAAATAACATTTGACTCATTGAACTCAGAGGTTTTAACATCGGGGGAAATATAAGAGCTGCGTCTTTTCACCAGCGTTGGATTTGAAATTATTAACCTCATCGGTTGGCTAATGTTTGATGAGCCAAAATGAGATTTATTTTTTTTCAAGCGAATTTTGAGTTTAAAAGAACTCAAGACGAACCTGCATGTTTTCGCATCCGCCTCTGCACACACATAACCCCCACCAGACATCTCTTTGGCCTTGGCAAAAGCACTCACCGGATAAGAGGTCAGCAGTGAGAGAACTCTCAGGCACAGGAGAGGCCCCTTGTGGTGGAGAGGAGAAAGCATCTTCCAAAAGTGAAACAAACCAAAACCAAGCAGAGGTAAGTAGAAAGCTGAAATCAAAGTTAAATATCTAACAAATGCATTATCAGAAGGGAGCACAGAGAGTTCAATCATGAAAACAACTGGGAAAACTAGTATTAATGAAAAGGGGGGCAGGGTTGTTTTAGATTTTTACCTGTACCAAACAGGTCTATGCTAGGAGCAGCATCTGGCTTAGGCGCTGCAGCGACTTCAGGAGGAGACTCAAACAAATCTAAGACCAAGAACACACATGCCTTTACTCAACTCGACAAAGCAGCCTGACACAGCATCACATTTCCAGTTCTGAGGGCGCGAATTCCAACAGAAGCAGCAAACGGTTTCTTAGAGAAGCATGTCGTTTACACGGGCGTCATGCAGTAATAGTTGTGTGTGCAGGGCACCTCAACTACCAGAATTCAATCCACCAGGTGAGGACAGTTCAACAACAACAAAAAATTACCACCAAAGATATCTAGAGCAGGAGGAACGGCAGTGGTGGCGGCGGAGGTGGTGGTGGCAGAGGCGGCGGCGGCGGCGGTGGCGGCGGTAGTGGCGGCAGCTGCAGCTGCGACAGCGGGAGCAGGAGAAGGTGCGGTGGCGGGAACCGGAGGGGCTGTGCTAGCTGTAGGGGTAACTACAGGAACACTGGTCTCAGGTGGCTTCATTGCAAAGAGGTCCAGCTCGGGCGCAGCCTCTGCGCTACCTTCGGACGGGGCAAAGGGGTCTTTTGGGAAGCAAAGTGGAGACATACGGCATCAGTAAGGAGAGAGACAAGAGAGAGGCGTCATAACTACGGGTGAGAGACACCTGACACGGATATTCACGCACTAGCTAGGCACTGGGCTGCTTGGATTGCACTACTAGCCTATTAGCAAGGGTCAGTGGTTAGGATGTTTTTCTAAAGAAAAAAAAAAAAAAAAGAAAAGAAAACTTAGTAGGTAACAGTTAAACTGAAACACTTCAAAGTATTCTAAGATTAGCCTACAGTCTAGGATCAGAGATGCTTCTTCAAATCCTCAACCTGGGCAGTGTGGCAGCTTTGAAAATTCATTAAAACACGCCTATATATTAGAACTCAGTGTTAGAAAGGAGTACAGCATAGCGTTGGAGGACAAAAAACATTAAGAGAGCATACTTGCGCTGACAAAAATTGTCAATCTTGAGAAATTGTCAATTTTGATTAAGTATGCACTTGATCGTCTTAATGTTTTAAATGCCGGCACTATCTACTCAGTTGTGATGAAGGATACTTTCCACTCAGAAGAGATTAGAGTTAGAATAACATATGGCCGCATCTAACTATGGGAGTTTCACATGAGGACAGAGAAACAACAGACTTGCTCATGACTTTCAACCCACCATTTCCTGAACATGCATCGAGTGCTGCCGCTACGGGGGTTGGGGTAGCTGGTGCTGTGGCCCCTTCGGATGCTGCAGGGGCCTCCCCAGGAGAAGCTGCAAAGGCATCTTGGGTGCAGGTTTTAAAACAACAGAAATTAAGGGAATAAAAAGAGAAGAAAATATAGTAAAAGAACCAAGTTAAACTGCGAAAAAAGCTCCCTTATACAACATGAATTTCTTAAAATGCATTTTTACAGCCCATGCGCTGCTGGCGGTCACAAAATAATGATTCTTTGCGCTCCTTCATGTTAGTCACATGCAACGGGTACAGTGTTCATACTGCTGAGGCCTGTTAGGATCCATCAGGCCACAGGATTCTCATTGTATAAGGGCTCTGAGAAGCATGTTTTATGTATTATTAGAAATTAATGGATATGAAAATTAAAACACAAAAATAACTTTATTATGTAATTTAAGACCTTAATCTTTCATGTCTAGGTAATACTTAATCACTATGTTACTAAGATGTCTCTGACCAGTGGATTCTACCAAACATCGATGTTTTCCTTAATGCCCATAAAATTAAACATATGATGGTAATGTAAACAGATAATTCTAGATAAAAGTTTTTATGGTCTAGTACAGACAAAATTACACTGTTAACATGAAAAGTTTACTAAGTGTTCATAAAAGTTAAGTCTTCATTATCCCTGAAAAGCATTTTCAGATACAAGCAAGGATTTAAGGAAATAGATAACAAAATTAGGGGATGACATCATACTACCTTTATTTCAAATTTACTGCTGTTTTCAAATATTGTATTGCTCTCATTACTTGGAAAATGTTCTTGTTTCAACATCTAGTTTCATGTTTTAAGACAATAAGCACTTTACTATTTAGAACATAAAATTCATTTAACATACAGGTAGCCCCAGTTTATAAATATATAAATGGCTGATGTATACAAATGGCACCCAATGTATTTCTGACAGTTATGCATGTTAATTTGGTAAAAAAAAAAAAAAAAAATCCTGGAGTTTTCAAAGAGATTCTATAATTGGAAAGTACAACAGAATGAGTCATCATAAGTGTGGTTTGCTTATAAGAAACTCTTTGAGGGGCACCTGGGTGGCTTAGTCGGTTAAGCGTCCGACTTTCGCTTAGGTCATGATCTCACGGTTCGTGGGTTTGAGCCCCGCGTCGGGCTCTGTGCTGACTGCCAGCTCAGAGCCTGGAGCCTGTTTCAGAGTCTGTGTCTCACTCTCTCTCTGACCCTCCCCTGCTCACGCTCTCTCTCTCTCTCTCTCTCTCCTAGAAAAAAATAAAAATATTAAAAAAAAAAAAGAAACTCTTTGAAAATGAGGACCAATACCAATCTAGAATCTGCCACTTACCTGCTAGACTTCTCATCCTAAAATACTGCCTTCCACAATATCTACAAGTGTCCCCCAGACACCGCTCCTCTGGCCATTAAAAAGAATGTGTCAGATATGCTTGTGAAACACTTCACAGTATCTTCCTTTTCTTGGAGATTTACATAGAATACATTAGGCTGTAGGAAGTTCTATGGTCAAGGCATTTGATTCTGAGTTTAACTGAGCATGTTCCAAACTGATCTGAGTATGAAACAGACTTTCCTATTTTCCTTTCCTGAGGCTCAGCATTAAGTACAGCAACAAACCCTGGGTTAAAAGATTCTTTACAAAAACACAAATATCCTTAGAAGACACAATGAGACAATCAGTTACTCATATCTTACAGATCTATTTGGTTTGTTTACTTCCCTCAGCCAAAGAAGGGAATGTTTTCTGAGCAGAGGTCAGTCAGGGGAGAGGCCAAATAATACTGGAGTGTGGGCAGGCCCGGCGTGCTTCCCCAGACGCCATGCTAAGGGTGCTGTGATAGAGGGCTTAGAGGAATATGAAAACCTGAAGAGCTGGGGCAGAACAGAAGAAAGTATTGGAGGAAGTAGGCGGGGCTGAGAGTACTTTGCCATGGGTCAGGTCAGTTTTTCTTTTTATTTCTATAAAACCTGGAACTGAGGCTAATAATACTGGAACTAGTGGAAACAGTGATAGCTGTCACTAGTGACTATTTATGTACCAGTCAGTGTGTAAACATTTTATGTACATTATTAAATTTAATTCCTATAACTATCTCATGATGTAGGTTCTATTATCTTTCCTCTGTAGATAAGAGAACAGAAGCTTGAAAGTCTGAGTGACTTAACCAAGGTCACACTACAGGCAAATGGCAGAGTCAGGATTTCGCTATAAACTGACAGAGGCTGTGTGTTAACCACCACGCTGCACTGTTATGATCCGTGCCACATTCTACTATTTCGTGTTTGTCGGATGGAATAAACACCAGTTATATCAGTGCTGGGGCGGAGGGGTCAAATAAATATCTCTTTAGTTTCCACTTATGTCTAAGTAGGTGAAACACATTATTTGTAACCGTGTCCTCAGAAGAGGTTTTTCCTCCCTGTCAACAAAACATGTATCTCCTTTTAATGCCTCTCCTGTTGCTGAAAATTAAACATTATAAACTCATCTATTCTCATTAGAGGTTCTCTTAAAGATAGGAGCTGAGCACCCCAGGTCCCATTGGCTAAGTCTTCCCAGGCCAGGGGGCAGAAATTTGCATGAGTAAGACTGCCCCAGCCACTGCCTGAGTAACACCAGCCCTGGCCCCAGCCAGGACAGAGACCATGAATGAGAACTATCCAGCAGAGCTCAGTTGGCCTTAGCGCTGTCAGAGGTAACAGAATTTTGTTGTTGTTGTTGTAAACAAAACCAAACTTGTTTTACTACCTAGTTTTCTTTCATTATCAAAGGCAGCATTATCCTTCCAGTTTTGAAAACTCAAGCTCTTTCCAATCAAGATCTCTTTCCCTTGTTACCCACTTACAGTTCATTTTTACATTCTGGCTATTTTCAACCAGGGCTATTTCCTGGAAATGCACATTTCTGCTGTTCTATAATTATGGACCCAGTCCAGGCCTTCCCCAGCAGAACAGTCTCCCTGACACTGCTATGGACCAGTCTTTTTTTTTTTTTTCCTTCTAGTAATCTAAGAAGAATTTTATCTCAAACTTTTTATCATATGACTATCATCCTAAAAATTTTGTATGGCTATCATTTTCCAGCCTGAATTCTCCCCGTCTTCTCTAGTCACATGAGCCATATTTTAATCACTTACTTGGTACAGGGGTTTCAGTCACTGTCAACAGCCTGAAAATCACCATTCCAGTCTTCCCCAAAGGTCCCAGGTTATGGCTCTTACACAAAATCTAGTTTCAAGTGCTTATATTTAAGTACTGGTTTTAAGGAAGGTTGATTAACTTAGTTTGTTAACCAACTTGTACAAATGAGAGCAGGCTTGTGAAGGAAGTTCTCTGGTCTTCCAGCCACTTGGTTTCGTGCTCACAGACTACATGCTCCTGAAGGCTTGCTCACAAACTGACACAGGTGATTGAAAGGGTGCCCTGGTGAATGTGTAGAGGAATTAGTATCAATTAGCATTCAAGTGCTGAGAAAAACCCTTAGTTGTCACAAACTAAAATGCTGCTGTTAGTAAAGTTTCCATAAGTGAAAAATAGAACATTTTAGAAAACATTGTTGTTTATTTTTATCAACATCTGTAAATTTTACTAATTTTTAAAAGCACAATACTATTTTGCAGTCCTGTTCTGTATGATCACAGAAAACATTTTTTTCTTAAAAGTTCACTTTAAAAAAGAAAGTGTTTAGTAAATATGTTTCTGAAAGTTTTTTTAATGACTTACATTGAAATAACTAAACTGTTATGTGGGCTATCAATGTGAATATTTAAAAATATCAGACATTTTCTATTTTTCAAATTTATAATGAGAATATATAGACATGTCCATGTTTTAATATTTCATATTCATGAAATTAAGCAACTACTTTTCAGAAATTAAATCCTCTTTAACTTCTTTCTAAAGACATCTACTTAATATTGCTGTATGAGCTAGATAAAACATCAAAAGTGCCTGTTTTAAAGTCACGTAAACAAAATATCTGGTGCTCTTATGTATTTAAGAGTCCTACCACTTACCCATGTTAGTGACACAAAATAAGAAAAAAAATGGTCACAACAAAATGGCCCATCTCTAGCCGATTCCTTATAAATCAATAAAGAACATGAAAGAAATTAGGGAATATCACTGAAAACACACCAACTGTGACATGTATAGACTCCTGGCCATAAAGATAGAGATTTTACAGCTCAAAGGTCAGGAGACAGTTTATGGAACTATCCAGATCAGTAAAAGTAATTGTGATGAGATTTACAGATGTACTCACTCTTCCTATAGCCAGATGACTAGAAAGGATATTGGTAAAAATCACAAGGAGAGCCCCATTCTTTGGGATTAAGTTATAGGACTTTCTGCAGTATTAGTCTTTTAAACTGGTATTTCAGGATAGAAAGAACCATGAAAATATCTACAAGTATACAGATTATTTTGATTGACAAATGTAAAAAAATCAGCAATAAATGATATAGACACACAGCATAATGGCACAAAGACTATTTCAAAGAAATATATCAGCGATGAGGGAAGTGAGGTGGAGTTGACTGATTTCTTAAAGGAAATTGAGTTCTGTATAAATGGACTGAACAATAAAAATCAAATAGCTAAAGGTGTAGAAATGTTCAAGCACAAAACAGTTATCTAAACTGCTCATAATTTCCTTGAAGTGTTTCTGAAATTATAAGCATATGAGAAACCACCCATACCCAGTACCAATAATAGGTGTGTGTGTGTGTGTGTGTGTGTGTGTGTGTGTGTGTGAAGAAGTTCATTTTACAATTTTAAGCTAAAAATTTAATTTTTGGTCTCAAATTTATACAGGCATAACTGAAAAACTAACGTTCACTAGTGGCTGACTACTTTTACTTTTAATAAAATATCTAATAGCTTGCAAATCCCTTTCCCCTCCTTTTTAGAAAAGTTTTCCCCTGTAATAGGAATGGCAGTGCAGCAAAGCAGTAACTTCCTTGTGTGAAACAATGGCAACCATGCTGTGTCCAGCTGAGCACTCTGGTCTGAGACAATGCTGGCAAAACTCAGGGACTAGGGGATGGCAGGTGGCACAGTGGGACGTGGCAGTGTGTAAGTATATGTTCCCAGGGGAATATATTAACTCCACTAGAGCCTGCCAAATCTCTCCTGCTGTCCCCACCATTTGCTTCCTCCAATTTCTTTACCATATTCTCAAAATGCCCCATGAGAGATATTATATGCTAATGAAGAAACATAAAACTATGATGAATATAACACTATTAGATGTATGTATTTGATATGAGCACTTCACCAGGTCTGGACATTAGCACCACTCAGATGGGAATATGTAAACACACTGGCTTCAGTAGGTTCATCAGGTCAGGGCATAGTATACCATATTAGGCAGGATACCTGATGCAAGCTCACAGCTGTAAATCAGTTCTGTCAGAATTTGCATTTGCACACAAAGTATATTTTCAGATGATTATTTCAAAGTCTGACCTAAACCGTTTTCAATTAGCATATGAGAGTTGTATCCAATGATCTCTCAAAGTTCCAAGGCCGAAGATGCTCCAACTCTTAGCTCTTACATAGATGCTGCAGGGCAGGAACAGATATGGGACAAGGATCCTAACAGCAATTTAAATCCCAACTTTTAAAAAACGGAAAAATCACATGGCCCAAAAGCACTGCAGCCTTTGCTCTAAAACTATAAAATTAAGTGAAGATAAAACTGATAAAGTTAGTGTTGATGAATATATATGAAGAAACATTTAAAAAGTAAACATTCTGACATGCTGTCCTATCATGTAAATATTTTTAAGCACCTCAACTCTAAGGCAACTAGCAAACCCGGAAGGAAAAGGACAAAACAGTGATGTGACTGACTAACCTCCAAAGAGGTCCACATCAGCAGTGACAGCGGTGACAGTCGTAGTAGTTGAGGCAGAGGCTGAAGCAGTTGCAATTTCAGTGGTTGTAGTAGGAGGGGCAGGCTCTGGTGCAAATGGGTCTGAAATTTGTGCTTCAGAGGGAACAGAGGAAATTGCAGCCAGAGAATCTGTGTTGTACCACAGACAAAGAAAAAACAAGAGGGAAGAAGAGGAAAGGACAAAAGATGTACCAGGCTCCAAATCATCAAATTAAGGACAGTGATGAAGAGACAGAGTCTCTTAAAACAGAAGTTTAAAATAAAGCTTTACTCACCCTCTCCCAAAAGGTCTATCGATGTCCATTATGTGTCAGCGTATGAAGAAATAAGAGAGAAAGCTGAAACATGCTCCCGAACCAATGTCCAGCAAGGCGAGGCACTAACTGAAGACGTTTTAGCTTTATGCACTTTTTGGGACCATTTCTAATTAAAATATAATGTATTATCTTTTATTACCATGGAATGTTGGAGCAGGAGGGGACCGTAGGCATCCTCCCTTGAGACCATGCTTCCGATTTTATAGGTGGGAACGCAGAGAGCAAGCAAGGTCAAGAGACTTACCTGAAGTCAGCAATAAACAACTTGACAAACTCAATTTATTATCAGATTTATCATTTCATCTGCTTTGATTTCACTATAGTATAAATATAAATTCTGAAGAAACTGTAGTCAATCAAACTTTTATTAATCCTCTGTATCTGATGTGTCACTTCAGTCCAGAATGCCACAGAATAGAGGCTTTATGATAGCTATAGTCTTACTGCAGAACATACTACACATAGTCAAAGAACTGAATGCAAGCTTAGGGGTTAGGGGAAAAAAACACCCTAACTACATGATTTTTTCTTAATAAATTTCACATTCTCAGATGTTTTTCAATTCAATATATAATCTTTCCATTCACAGACATTATGTGACAACATATGAGAATTATAATTTTTTTTATATTCTTTTTCAGAGAGAGAATGTGTGTACACATGTGAGTGGGGGAGAGGCAGGGAGAGAGAGAGAATCCCAAGCAGGCTCCACAAGCAACAGTGCAGCGCTGACATGGGGCTCGATCTCAAGATCATGAGATCATGAACTGAGTGGAAATGAATAGTCAGATGCTTAACCAACTGAGCCACAACGGTGCCCCAAGAATTATTTTTAAGATGAATGTGAGAGAACTTTTTAGCCCTTCTGAGGTCTGCACTCCTGTCAGAGGTACATACTTTGTGTTCAACAGTGAGATTACAGTTGACATCCTAAATAAAAAGCCTGGGAAAGGTAATTATTATCTACACTATGACTTTAGGTTAAACACTTAGAGTGTCCAATGTATGCTCATACTCCTAGTCATGTGATATACTTGAGGGCTCATACGTGAATTCATGAATGCTACTGGAAATTTATTGTAATCATGAAGACATTTTATCAGAACTCATTAGCTATTTTTTTAAGAGACTTAAAAACATTATAAGAACTCAATAAACTAAAAGTCCTAGATGACATTTTAAAAACCTGAGAACATAAATTTGTTAAAATTTATCATTAAAAATTATCACATTCATTCAGGCACCTGAATGGCTTAGTTGGTTAAGTGTCTGACTTTGGGTCAGGTCATGATCTCATGGCTTGTGGGTTCGAGCCCTGCATCGGGTTCTCTGCTGACAGTTCAGAGCCTGGAATCTGCTTCAGATTCTGTGTCTTCTTCCCTCTCTGGCCCTCCCCCAACTGTGCTCTGTCTCTCTTTCTCTCAAAAAAAAAAACATTAAACAATTTTTTTTCAAAAAAAAAATGATCATGTTCATTTAACTATGCAATTTCAAACCCAATAAATATTAGATAAAGCAATCAGGGCTCTACCTAACCAAATATTATAGATTTCATAACATTAGAAAATGATAGCACACAGGGTACATCACATTAGAAACAGTTTTTTAATTTTAGAATGTATGCATAATGAACACCAAGCCAAAAAGAGCTATGTTCATTTGGGGATGTTACGTGATCAGGTTGCAAATCCTGAGAAACAGAAATTGGTTAATTTCTTAAACCAATAGTATCAGGTCCAATACAACTGTTACTCAATAGTCATACATCCTAAAATATTAATTAGAAACCAAAGTGGGTCAGGAGAAGCCAGAAAGACTTGGTTCTCTATTCTCCTGGCATTGGTGGCACTCTCTCTAGCCTTGCTTTATCAATCACTATTTCAAAATGCAACGTGACTTAGCAGAAGGGCTAAGAGGCACGTGATTTAAGTTTCTACACCTGGAATTTTTTATGATGGAATGGGCAGTTTATTTTGTACATTTGGTAAGTGAGAAAAGAGAAGACTATCTATGTGTACTAGAAGGAGAGAAATATTATTTAAAAGTATAAAAGATTAAGGGGCACCTGGGTAGCTCAGTCAGTTGTATGTCCAACTCTTGATTTCAGCTCAAGTCATGATCTCACAGTTTGTGGGTTTGAGCCCCACATTGGGCTCCTCGCTGAGGGGTGTGAAGCCTGCTAGGGATTCTCTCTCTGCCCCTTCCCCTGCTTGTGTGCATGCACGCTCTCTCTCTCAAAAAGAAAAAAACTTAAAAAACATATAAAAGATTAGAATACTAGTTCCTTGCTTTTGACTAGTATTTTTTTCAGATGGAGGGCTATAAGACTTCTTGCAGTATGATGAAAGATGGAAAGTAAAATTTCCTAGGAAAATGTATGATGATTAAACATACTGGGGCATTACTGATGTTGAAAACTTTTGGCACAAGTTTTAGTCTCTAAAATCTGAGTTTTCTGGATGAAATATAATTTATGTTGCTTATTTCTTGCTTTATGCAAAATTTTCCCACTATAAAAGAAAGCCCTACTTTAGGATGATGGGAACAGTTATTATTCTCAAAGCTACCACTTTTTATAAAGGGTTAAACTATACAAACCCTCACTCCAACACCCACAGCAGCAGAGTTCAATTCACTGCAAGCACTACATAGTCAGACATATACTTTTGCACTAAGGAAATTACTAGAAAATATTCACTGTAATTGAGGAAACAGAGCTATAAATAAACAATGAAATCTATATTTTGCAGTGATATGCAGCTAAACTCAGGTTATTATAAAGATCAAGTGCGTTAATATATTTAAGAGCTCACCTGTGCCTGGAGTATATCAAATGTTTGCTAATGATAACAACAGCAATAGCTAATATTTAAGTCAAATTATAATTTTCATTACAGAAGTATGAATGTCAAAGCTTCTATAACTCTTTCTGTGTGTGTGTGTATGTGTATACAATGCATGTTTCCAAAACAGTCCATAAATATGCCTTCCAGATTTAATTAACAAGTAAATGGTAATAAAGGTCACCAAAATTGTTTGTACTATGGCAAATATTCCCCATGGAAACTATTAAAGTCGTATTATTGCATAAAAATGATGAACCTTCAAATGCACATTGGGAATTAATTTCTATTAAGTCTCTTAAATTAATAAAACCCTAGCAATAATTCTATGTTTCTCTAAAAGTAGAAATTTCACTTCAAACATTTATAGTAAGTAATGATCTATTTCCCACTTCTAATATACACAGAAATACAACATACATACTCACTTGTTTGTGCTGAGGGATGAATTTATTATGAAGAGAAAAACACTCTCCTTACTATGGGGCCAAAGGCAGGGATTAAAAAAAATCTATCTTCTTTCAATCAAATATGCTCACTATCGACCCGCAGATGCAAATCTTGTATGTATTTAACTTAGGTTTATTAAATTTGCATTTTGATAAAGTTTGGTTGTCTCTTACACCAACAGAAAAAATACTCTCATTTACAATATGTCCCTTAAAATGACAATATTTATCAGTACATGTAACTTCCAAGAGAAATTCTTAAACATCTGAAGTGGCCATGGCTGTGGGAAAGTGAATTCTCTTACTAGCATTATGGTCAGATAAAAATACACAAATATATCTAAAAGAGCTTTAGAGTTTATATTTTACTGTCTGGTTATACAAAATTAAAATGTGCTTTAACAGTAGAAGTGATCTGATTTCACAAAACAAGATTGAGAAACTGATTTTATTTATTTATTTTTGCTTAGTCAAACGAGCCAAAATATATTTGTTACAATTTAGCGTCATGTTCAACCACCATTGCATATCTACAGGATAAATGCAAACTGAAGGTGACTAATATTACTCCATTTCTTATTATACAAGTTTACTTCAGTTTATTAAGACTTATAATTTTCACTATTTTGCTTCGGAATTAGAGAATTTATTAGTATTTTTCTCTCTAGCTGATTTTTCTACCGCTATGAAATACTGCAGCTGCAGATATTTTCTTGAGACAGAAGACTAATGATGTCTAATTTTCAAAAAGTGACCATTAGGTCCTGAGCCAAGGTTCTATTAGCCTGGAGGGTGCTTTGTACTATATAAAAAAAGTGCTCCATCTGTGCCAGCAGATTAGGAAAAGAAAAGCACCCCCTTTTCAAAGATGAAAAGGGTCACAGCTTGAATATCAGACAGTGGGCTGGATTTTAGCCCCTCTCATTCTGCCTTTGAGCAAGGCACAAATTGCATGTCCCTACTGAACAGTCCTGACTAAAATCACACGATTCTGCTTTCTTCTATATCCATTGCTAGCTTAAGGCTTCAGTCCTAAATGGTAACTTACATCTAACAAGTAAAGACTGAAATGTATTCTCATAAAATTGGTTATTATAACCTATTCCTTACAGTATTGTGTGTCTTAGCAAAAAGTGTTTGAAGGCAGAAATGAATAAAACTGTTTCAGTGCAAGTTTAAAAGATTTTATCTAGCTTTTACTCCTTACTTGGCACTCTTTTGGTGCAAAATTTGAAAGAGAAAGAGAGAAAGAGAGAAAGGAAGGAAGGAAGGAAGGAAGGAAGAAAGGAAGGAAGGAAGGAAGGAAGAAAAGGAGAAGAATTTCTCTTCAATTTCATGCCAGAGAATAAAGTAAAAGGAGACAGTTTACAGTTTCACTGTTTATTCATTAAAGTTCTAACTAAGTCACTAAATGTTTGATAAGTTCTAAAAATTAACAGTGTGAATACATACTGATTTAGATGATAGAATTAAAGGGTTTTATATTCCTATAAAACTGAAAATTTTTTTGTATAACCCCACAAATTATAATTAACAAATTAAATTAAGCGTTAAATTATAAAAATTATGTAAAAGTCATTTATATGAATTTATGAAAAAGTATGATTTAAGGATATGGATTTGAAGCACTCTTAAATGAACCAGAAAACACAATTAATTGCATAAGATACTGTGGTAATGA